TCCAATGAAAGTTCTTTCAACAAAAAATATATATGCATGTGAAGTAAAAATGTCCTGGTATTATCAGTTCCAAAGATTTGGCTAAAGGAAAAGTTTGGATTTTTTGTGTTTAAGTGGGTCAAATTCCAAGGTCAAAGTCAATTTTGGTGATACTCAAAGAAAGGTCTTGTCACAAGGAATACACATGTGAAATATGAAAGTCATATCTCTGCTAAATCAAAAGTTATGGGCACGGTTAAAGTTTTTGCGGATAAGCAGACAAACAGAGAGACAGTTAGACAGACAATTAGACAGACGGACACGAAAAAAACTATATACCCCCGAAACTTCGTTTACAGGGGCACAAAAATATTAGTGATGTAGCAAATAGTGGTGAAATGTAACTAAAGACCAAGTAATGTTAGATAGATATTTATTTGGTATACTACATATACATTGTTACAATGCAATATTGACAAAATTGACAATATAAATTTATTATATATATAAAAGTTGGCACTAAACAATGGAATAAATATAAAATATCGGAATCAATCCGTTTTTGAAAGACATGACTTTATTTATATATGATTCACATTTATTCACATTAGTATACCAAGGATAACCCATGAAAGCCAGTGGCTTATTTCCAAAGGGGTCCTTATACTCAAACTTGAATCTTAATTAGATGTTAAATAATATAAACAGATATATATAAATACTATAATTAAAATACGGGATCAAGTTGACAACATAGATATCCTTAAAAATGAAGTGTATTATGAAAGTATACCAAATATTCCCATGATTGTAATTGTAATAATAATAAAAAACTAATAAAACACAACTTGACTTTTACACTGGGCAATTCCTCTTTCTAATAAAAATTTCTTGACATTTTTTTTTAAAGCAAAATTATTTCAAGTATTTAAAACAGGTTTAATTTCTGCTGGTAACATGTTCCAGTCTTTGATTCCATTAAAATAAAATGATTCAGATTGTTTTTGCTTAATTAATGGTACAACAAAATCTGCATTTGAGACTGATCTAATATGATAGCTGCTAAAATTTGACCGAAGTGTAAAATTTTCATTAAGATAAGAAGGGGCTTTTCCTTGAAAAATATTAAAAACATGGTTGAGTCTAAGCGGAGAAATTCTATCTTGAATATTTAATAAATTTAGTTGACTAAGTATTTCGTAATACACGGATGCCTGTGGTCCTAAATTCAAAATAAATCGAACCATCTTGTTTTGACAAATTTGTAACTTTTTCTTTAAAGTTTTGGATAACCCTGCATACCAAGCACTACAGGCGTAATCAATATAACATTGTATTAATGCTGAACACAGAGTCATTTTACAAAAAGTATCTAAAAACCGGGCTTGTCGGTACAGAAATCGCAATCTATTATTTACTTTCTAGACAATAGATTCAACAATGAATTCACCACTTAAACATTTGTCGATCAAAACTCCAAGATATTTAACTTTTTCTTTACAATCAATGTTATGGTCATTACATACAACCTGGAATTTTTCACCATTTTGAAGCTTTCTTCTTGAACCAAATAAAATGCATTCAGTTTTACCTAGATGTAACGATAGTTTATTATCTACAAGCCAGTGCGAAATCTGATCTAAAACTTTACTAAGCTTTTCTGATATAAAATCAGGATCTTTATGTGCAAATAAAATAGCACTGTCATCAGCGTATAAAATAAGTTTACAATCTGCATCAACACTAGTTACCATGTCATTAACGTAAATTAAAAATAATAAAGGTCCTAGAATACTGCCCTGAGGTACACCACATGTGATAATACCAGCATCTGATGAAATTCCATTGCTGTGAACAAACTGTTTTCTTTCAGACAAATAAGATAAAAACCAATCAACAGATTGCACACCAATAGCTTTTAGTTTTTTACAAAGTATATCATGGTCAACAGTGTCAAATGCCTTTTGCAGATCAAGCATAACCTTTCCAGTATATAATCCCTCTGCAGTATTATCTCTAATAAAATCAAATAAATGTATCAAACAAGATTCAGTGGAGTACTTACTTCTAAAACCAGATTGAAACTCATAAAAAATAATATTACGATCTAAGAATTTTGAAAGTTGCATATGAACAGATCTCTCTAAAATTTTTGAAACAATACTAAGAATACTAACCGGTCTATAATTACCTACTTCTAGTGAACTGTTCTTTTTGTGAATATGTTTCACCCTAGCTGTTTTCATATCTTCAGGAACAGTGGAAGAGGAAATGGATAAATTAACAATATATGTTATAGGAATCTTTAGAAAATCAGCTCCATCACGAATGAACCTAGATGGAAAATCATCAAGCCCCATACTTTTAAAAGGGTTCAGTTTTAAAGGCTCTTTGTATACAAAACATTCATTGACTGTTTTCAGAGTAAAAAGATTATCATTTTTTGAATAAAAAGATTTAAAACGTTCACTACCCACACTAAAAATATTTAAAGGTGTGGGGAGTTCGCTTACCAGTGAAGCTGCAATATTAACAAAAAAATCATTAAAATGATTTGCAACAGATTTTGGTTCATGAAAAATATCATCATTAAATTTTTAAACAGACATTCCTACTGGCCTGACTTTTATTTTTAAACCCAAGGTCTATAGGCTCTGCCATAAATTTTTCGGGTTATTTTTGTTTTCTTCGATTTTACTAGAGATGTATTCTGTCCTTGCAACTTTAACGTCCCTTTGTATTGTATTTCTAATTCTGCAGTAGCTTATGTAATGCTCTTCCTGTTTTGTTTTCCTGTATGTATATAGTAAAGAATCTCTTTCTCTGATCTTTTCGAGGATGGACGATGTTATCCATGGTTCAGTTCGTTGTTTTAATCTAATTTCTTTAACTTGGGCTACTTCATCTAAGACCATTTTGAAAGTATGTTGAAAAGCCCTCCATGCTTGATTGACAAATGTAGAGAAACTTTGTGTCCAATCTGCTTCAAGTAATCTGGTCATAAAAATTTCAGGGTTATAATTTTTTAAAGTGCGTATAGTAATAGATTGATGTGATTTGAAATGACCTTTCGAGATCCTCCTTGAACAAAATATAGCACAATGATCACTAAGACCAATGGATATGGTTCCAAACTAAGAAATATTTTCTTTTCTGTTGGTGATGATATGGTCAATTATAGTTGATGATGATTCTGTTGTTCTAGTGGGTTCGTTGATAATCTTGTTAAGGTCAAAAAGATTCAAGACATCTTTATATGCTTTAAGAATCCTATTCGTATTGGAAATTTTAAAATCTATGTTAAAATCTCCTAAAATGTAGGTTTCACAGTCGCGTCGTAGCATTTGAAGACTCTGTTCAAAATACTCTAGAACATTGGACTGGCAAGGTGGTCTGTAGCACACTCCAATCTGAATTGGTTTAGTCTAGATTGACCCAGATTGACTCTTGGTCCTTACCGTTGTTTATACCTTCCAGATGGGTGAAGGCATATTTGTTGTGTATATATAAACAGACACCACCCCCTTTTTTATTCCTATCACGTCGAAAAAATAACCTTCAATGTTAATTTCACCATCAAAAACTGAATGATCTAACCATGTCTCACTAACTGCTATGACTGAGGCTTTCGATTTTGTAGCAAAAATTCGTAGTTCTGAAATTTTTTGTAATAAGGACCTCACGTTTAAATGTACAAAATGCATTCCTTTCTGATTGAAGCACTGGTAGTGAGATTCGTCAATATTGGAGGGTATGTTGACGTTTGTTGGCCCTGGGTTTGAGTGAATATCTCCACATAACATAATAAGAGAGACGATACAAGAACAGTTATTTCGTTCAATATTTGGAGTAAAGTGTAATGTTATTACTTATATACACAAAGTGTAATGTTATTACTTATATACACAAAGTGTAATGTTATTACTTATATACACAAATTTAAGTAAATATAAATTACTAAGTAAAACTCTTTATTGTGTAAGTAAAACAATTCTTTAAAATACAAAAATCAAGTAAAACATTTGAATTTTATAATTGACATATATTTCAGTAATTGATTTAAAATTTTAAGTAAATGCTAAGTAATTATCTATTAATTATCTTTTTTTATTTCAAGTAAAAAATGACTACTAAGTAAAACTTTTTTTAGAGTGTAGCTGCCGACCGGTCACACCCGACGAATGTTCCTTGTCATGATCGAGAAATATCGGAAAATCCGTCGTCATTTCAGTGAATAAATGATATACTAATAAATAAGTATGAAAAACGTAAGTTAACATTTGACTCAATGATAAATTGTATTTGTTGAAAAGGTCATTGCATCGACAAACCACTTGTTTCAACAACTTGTTTGTCAATAATTTACCTTGTTTTAGGAATTGTTCATATGTAGAGCAAGCTCTTGCCTATCAAATCAACTGAGATATATAAGCTCCGTATGCAGGTAATGAAGGTAAATTGCTGCATAAGTAAGGGAAGCTGACGATAGAATGTTCAACTTTCCTTTGGGTACCAACAATTTTGACCTTGACCTCTGAAGTTTGACATGCATTTGAGAGAATTCAACCCTCGTCATAAGCTGCAATACGGGGGCATCAGTGTTTCACAAATACATCTTGTTTTACTTTAAAACTGAGATGGATAAAAAAAGCAATTTTTTAAGAAATAACTGAGTTAAGAATTCTTAGTTGATAGTCGGTATGCTCAACCGATAGTCAAACAACTCGAATATTCGTTGACATCCCTACATTATCAAGTGATTTTAGCAGCAGTTAGCTATTTCTATAAGGTTAAAGTAAGATCAAAACTTTACGTCATCTCTGAATTTGTGACTTCATATGTGAATTGGCGTACAATGAATTTTAACATATTTCCTAACAGAAAAATCGAAACCCTAAGAATATACTATGCTTGTTCTCCAGCTTAAGAAGATAAGCATGGTTCTCAAGCTTGATAGAGAGAGAGAGGAAAGAGAGACAGAGAGAGAGATTTTAATGTATTTATAAAGTAAACATGCTTACTTTGAGATCTGAAATACAATTCGTTAACGACGATCTACGTAAGTCTGAGATATGCTTTTGGCAGGTCTGAAACGCTACAGACTTCTCAAATTCCGCCAGACAAGTATTTCTTGCTTCTCCTTCTGACATCACTGTTTGTCTTTTGTACCTCTGGAATAAAATAACATTTCATTATTTTTCATATAATTCTATTGTTCGTGTATTCTTATAACGGCTAATGGCTAAACTTCGAAGTTCTGTATTACGCTTACTTATAAAGGAAAGGCATAATATATGATTCTGGCACTACTTCTATTTGAACTTATTAAATATTCTTTGTACCCAAAACTAGCCTTGCGACTGATAAATTTATTATTTTATGCTTAACGTCCCTCCCGAGAATTTTTCACTCTTATGGAGACACCACCACTTGTCGGTAGAGATCTGCAAATTCTCACCAATACTTGGAGCAGGGAGGGATCTTTTTCGTGCCAACACCTACTGCGACATGGGACTTCGGTTTATACGGTCTTATCTTATCCTAAGGACGAATCTCAACGCCTTACAGTGGAATTGGAACCCGCGACGTAAAGATCAACTCCTTACTTTGCAATTCTAGAGCAGACCCTCTTATCACGCGGGCGACAGCCGTTCGAAAAGCAAATTGAGCGCATGATCCGTGAACAAAAGGTCAGGGATTTAAACCAAAGCCGTGACCTAATCGATTAAAAATAGAAAGCAACTGTTCATTCAGAAATCGCTAGGCATCTGAAGTGAAATTAATGGATTCTTCGTGAGATCTTAAAAAGTGAGGCTCCATGTCACGACAGTTGTTGGCACGATAAAGATCCCTCAGGGCTCATTTGTCTACATTTGAAGTCCTTTAATTTTATATGGTGAATTTTCTTTATGAATGCAAAAGTGTACTATTCGACATAAAACAACATACGAGGGCTGTTCAATAAATAGTGTCCTCGGTGCTCAGAAAGAAGGAAAAGACGCTTGCTTTTCATTGATTTAGTTTTAATAATTTAACTGAATATTTTTTTTTCAATTGAAACCCATGTCAATATGAATTTCATCCAACTTCTGATTGTTTTTAGAACTCATTTTTGGGTATGACCCTTAGTGTTGTGTTTGGATATTTTAAGTGCATTAATAAACAAACCAGTGAACTGTTTACATTAACTTTATTATGGTTTCGGACATTGGCTATCAATCCCAGGAATATCGAATTGCATGCTCAGGTTTATACACTGTACATATGTTTGTATCTTTAGTCTAGAATAAAATGCTAATCGTTATAGATGCCTTCTAGTCTCATTTAGTACAACACAAAATTGGCGACGAGGATTTTACAATGGCTGGATATATTGGAAAGATAGAAGCGTTTGATGACACTGTTGATTCTTGGACAGCGTATACTGAACGTTTAGAGCAGTATTTTGAAGTGAATGGAATTACAGGTGGCAAACGTGTCCCTGCGCTCCTCAGTTTAATTGGAGGAAAAACTTATGCGTTACTGAGGAATCTCACAACACCAGATAAACCAAAGGACAAGAGCTTTAACGAAATTGTCAAGGTTCTTAAAGATCATCTATCACCTAAACCGTTGGTAATAGCGGAACGATTTCGTTTCCACAAAAGAGAGCAAAAAGAAGGTGAAAGTGTTAATGAATATGTCGCACAAATCAGGAAACTTTCTGAATATTGTGACTTTCAAGATCTAAACAACACACTAAGAGACAGATTTGTGTGCGGACTCCGAGATGAACAAACTCAGAAGAAATTACTGTCCGTGCAGGGGCTCACCCTGGATAAGGCAATCCAAATAGCGGTCGCTATGGAAATTGCATCAAAAGACGTCTTGGAATTGCAGGGAAAAAGTCGCGAGTCTGGTGTCAACAAATTAAAATTCCAGAAATCGAAAGCAAGGTTTGAAAAACCGAAAAGTGGGAATTGTTACCGATGTAACAAAAGTGGCCACAGAGCAGAAGAATGCAGATTCAAAGATGCAACATGTCACAAATGTAAGAAGAAAGGACATATAAAGGCGGCATGTCGTGCAAAGGATAAGTCCTTCCCGAAGAAAGTACATGCAGTGGATGAAGACGGCTGTTGTGACTTAGGGTTGTACTCTGTGCATACCGGGAAAAGGAACGAAATTATGGTGGACGTGTGTATTGACGAAAAAAAGGTCAATATGGAAGTCGACACCGGTTCTGCGCTATCCATTGTTCCCGAAAAAGTTTTTACAGAGCTGTTTCCCAACAGAAAACTGAAGGACACAAGTGTAACCTTAATAACTTACTCCGGAGAAAAACTGAAACCTCTTGGAGTAACTGACGTAAAAGTCGTGTACAGAGATCAACAAGAGAAATAAGAACTGTATGTTGTTTCCGAGGGAAAAGCGATACTTTTCGGGCGTGAATGGCTACGAAAAATCAAATTGGATTGGAGTTCCCTAAACAACATTACACTTGATAACAACGAATTATCACAGAAGTTGGAGAAAATTCTTGATAAACACAGTGCCGTGTTTACAATGGAAACTGGATCCGTCAATGGAATTAAGGCGAATCTCATCATGAAGGAAAACGCTAAACCAGTATTTGTGAAAGCAAGATCGCTTGCTTACGCGCTGAAACCCAAAGCTGAAAAAGAGTTAGAACGACTTGAAAGTGAGAATATCATTAATAAAGTGCCGACAAGTGAATGGGCCACGCCAATTGTGCCGATAGTTAAGAGATCAGGTGATATCCGAATTTGTGGGGATTTCAAGGTTACGATAAATCCGCAACTTGAAATAGAGCAATACCCCTTGCCTCGCATCGAGGACATATTCGCTTCGTTAGCCGGTGGACAGAAATTCTCAAAGATTGATCTAAAGAATGCATATTTGCAACTAGAAGTAGAAGAGGAATCAAAGAAGTTTCTTACAATCAACACGCATCGAGGATTGTACCGTTACAACCGACTTCTATTCGGGGTAGCGTCAGCACCTGCGATATGGCAGCGCACTATTGACACAATATTGCAAGGATAAAATGGAGTTCAGTGTATTCTGGATGATATGGTTATAACGGGTAGGAATGATGCAGAACATTTGGAAAACTTACGTCAAGTTCTACAGAGACTTGAGGAATATAACTTGAGAGCGAAAAAATCCAAGTGTCACTTCTTCAAAGATCAAATCGAGTATTGTGGTCATTTAATTGACAAACAAGGATTACACAAGACCAAGGATAAAATTAAAGCCGTGTTGGATACCCCGGAGCCAACCAACACCACCCAACTCCGTGCATTTCTAGGGCTCGTGAATTACTATCACAAATTCCTTCCGAACCTATCATCCGTTGCACACCCGTTGCACAAACTCCTGGAAAAGGATGTCAAATGGCAGTGGACCAAAGAATGTCAGGAAGCGTTAGAGGAAGCAAAAGGGTTGGTAACCTCTGATCAAGTATTATGTCACTATGATCCAAACTTACCAATCAGGCTAGCGTGTGATGCGTCACCTTTCGGATTAGGGGCAGTATTGTCACACGTGATGAAGGACGGGACGGAGCACCCAATCGCGTTCGCTTCAAGAACTTTGAATAAAGCTGAGAGAAATTACAGTCAAATTGACAAGGAAGCTCTAGGTATTGTCTTTGGAGTGAAGAAATTCCACACTTATCTGTATGGTCGCGAATTTACCTTGATAACCGATCATCAGCCGTTAGTGTCAATTTTCAATCCTAGGAAAGGAATTTCAGTAACCTCCGCAGCGCGAATGCAGAGACATGCTATATTTTTGAGTGGATATACATACCACATTGAATATCGCAATACCAAGCGCCACACGAATGCAGACGGACTGTCAAGAATTCCCCAAGAAAAGGAGGAACTTGAGGCCGAGGAATTAACTGATGTGGCAGATATGTTCACACTCAGTCAAATGGAACAAATATCATGTCTTACGCACCAAGAAATTAGAAGAGAAACGTCTAAAGACAAATGTTTGTCAAAGGTGTACGACTGCATTGTTAATGGTTGGACTGAAAACGAGCATCCAAACCTAAATGCGTACTTTAATAGAAAGAATGAATTGACTGTGAGTCAAGGCTGCATCATGTGGGGATGCAGAGTTATCATTCCACAACGATTTCGGGAAAGAGTACTTGAAATGTTCCATTCAGCTCACCCTGGAATTGTGCGAATGAAACTTCTGACGAGAAGCTACGTTTGGTGGCCAGGAATCGATTTTAAAATCGAAAAGCTTGTAAAAGGTTGTGCTGGATGCCAGAAACATCGCCAAAATCCGAAAATAGCGCCCTTACATCCATGGGAATGGCCGTCAGCGCCGTGGAAACGTATCCACATTGATTTCGCAGGACCATTTTTAGGACACATGTTTCTTATTGTCGTGGACGCACATTCAAAATGGCCAGAAGTTATTCCTATGCAGACAACCACGTCAACCAAAACGATTATTACTTTGCGTAATATCTTTGCACGAAACGGATTACCTGAGCAGCTTGTTTCCGACAATGGCCCACAATTTGTGTCTGAAGAATTTCAAAAATTTATGAAACTAAACGGAATAAACCATATCCGATCAGCACCCTATCATCCTGCAACAAATGGTCTGGCAGAACGTTTTGTTCAAACCTTTAAACAAGGAATGAAAGCCATGGATAAAGAAAATGCGGACATTCATAAGAAGTTAGCAAATTTTCTTCTTACGTACCGTAACACACCTCACGCCACAACAAATGAAACACCAGCGATGTTATTCATGGGGAGAAACCTTAGATGCCGTTTTGGCATCATCAAACCTGACCTGGGACGAACTGTAAATGATAAACAAATGAAAACTGCTATCACTACCAAAGCAGAGAAATTAAGAGAATTTAACACTGGACAGCACGTGGCCGTTAGAGATTACCGCGGGAAGGAGAAATGGACCAGCGGAGAAATCATTCAGCGCAAAGGACCGTTGAATTACGAAATTAAAACACAAGCAGGAGGAATTTGGAAGCGACACGCCGACCAAATCAGAGATGCCGATTTCAAGGCCGATTCCGAGGAAAATTCCGATGCGGTAATACCAATTATCGACGATAAAGCAGCTGACAGTGAAGCAGGCGAGACGTCTGACCAATCACCGCCGATAATTAATGCGCCGCCCGAACGAAGATATTTGCTGCGAACCAGGAAGCCCGTGGTCAAATTAAATTTGTGAATGGTTATTTGTGTAGCACCGTATGGTTAATAATAATTCCCATGACAGCAATAACTTAGCAGTGGTTGTAGTGCGCGTAGAAACAGAAGTTTCTTTTGCAACCATATTAGTTTTGTAAATAATAGATATGTAGTAAAAGTTATTTGTTGTATATCTTTACAAATTATTTCTTCTTAAGTATTTTCAAAATTAAAGGTTAAATTTCAATATTATTTTATCTACGTAAAAAAATAAGAAGGGAGGAAATGTTGTGTTTGGATATTTTAAGTGCATTAATAAACAAACCAGTGAACTGTTTACATTAACTTTATTATGGTTTCGGACATTGGCTATCAATCCCAGGAATATCGAATTGCATGCTCAGATTTATACACTGTACATATGTTTGTATCTTTAGTCTAGAATAAAATGCTAATCGTTATAGATGCCTTCTAGTCTCATTTAGTGCAACACAAAACTTAGTATACTAGAAAATGGCAGATCTTATGATTTCCTGGACTAGCTTTATTCTGAAATGTGTTTTTTTTTTAAGTTTGAAAAATGAAACAAGTCATAAGGCAAAAGATCTGACGAATAAATGTGTGAAAGAAATCATTTTCTGTTTATCCCAAAAACTCCTTTACTCTTTATGGCGTGCCGGTTTGGAAGCTTTCATGAAGAAATTTTATGTAGTGGATTCCTGATTCTGGTTCCCTCCTCTCATTAACCTTTCGATTTTTTTCAAAACATTTGCTTTCTAGACTCTTCCATAAATTGAACCGCCTCCCCGAATATGAATTTTAACAACGAGACCACTAATATTTAAAAAAAATTGCATATAAAACTGTCTTTGTGCTCTTGCAATTCTTTGATCTTCTCAGACCTTTGCTGTTTTTTGTCAAGTATTTCTTGTTTTAAATTTTGTTTCGACGGCTTTAAGCAATAGATTCAAGTTTTATTATCTGTTTGAATTTTAAACAAACTTGGATAGCTACAATTTGTCAATTTTTAAAATATTTGTTTAGATATTCTTACATGCTATCATTTTCACTCATTTTCAAAACATTTTTTTACTGTCAAACGTTTCTTTGAAACAGTGTGAATTACTCCCAAAATGATGTCTATCAAGTTTGCTATATGTTTTAAAGTCAATCATACATCATCAGTGATTATTTGTTGAAAATTCGCAGACAGTACATGAGTTGTTATAATTTTTGTTGGCAAGGACGGTATCCATTTTTGATGCCAATTATCTTTTTTTTTTATGAATCAAAACCACCTGCTCATTTGTCCATAAAACAGACATTGGTTGCCGTAAATGTTACATATTTCATTGCATATTTCTTTTGGATTTTTCACGATTTTAACTGCAGTTTGTATGAAGTGTTTGATCTAGTTACACTCTAGTTTACTGATTCTTTACAATTCATTTTACATGCAGTGTCTCGAATAGCCCTTGTTTTCCAGCTTCTCACAATGAAACTATGTGATGAAAAGTGGTCAAATAAAGTGTTATAAATTCATTGAAGATTCAACGAAAAAGTCAAGCTGAATGTCATATGACATCTTTATTGTATATAATACAGTTCAGGGCATTATTTATTGAACGGCCGTTGTTCAACGTGCAGGGAACTAAATTTGTTACGGTATCGATGCTGATTTGAATGATTCCTTTGCTTGCTAATTTAATGCGACTTATCCTTATCCTTCGTGTTTTATAATTAAGTAAATGCTACCGGAAGTAGGATCATGTAACCTTTACCTTAGATAGATATTTTTATTTCAGCATTGCCGTTTACAGCAATAAAATTAAGTGGCTTGTATAACTATTTAATCATAATATTTCAAAATGCAGTAATAGTATGAACAATTCATCCAGTTTTCTTTCCCTGTTTTCCCTTGATATATTCCCAGAGAACTTCTAACATTAAAGCTTTATGATAAAAGTATCAATTATTTTTTGTTAAATTCCCTTACTAATGTAACAAAATACCCATGAGAATATGGGATTTCTGTCTGCCAGTTTGATAAATACACCAGAGGCCCGTGTTACAAAAGAACTTACGACTAAGGCAAAAAACTTCAGATAATTGTAAAATTTTGCAAAATTAATAGTTCTCTTTGAAATTGTGTATGTAAAAAATATCTTATCACATTTTTTTTAATGAAGGATATGGAGATAACGAACAGTATTCAATCTCAAAGTTCATAAAATAATACAAAATCAGAGCAGAGCAAACACGGACCTTTGAAACATAAGTGGTGGGATCAGGTGCTTATAAGTTTAAATTGATTTTCGATATAATATTAATTAAAAAGTTATATGAAGAATTAAATTTGGTCCTAAGTCATAAGTCCTTTTGTAAAATAGGCCCCAGAGCATGAACAATTCCTAAAATAAGTTATTGACATACTAACTGATAAAAGAAGGATATATATAATTTTGTTAAAAGCCATTATTTCGCGAATTCTATGATTGATTCGATGACTTTGTTAGCAAGTACAGTATATCATTAGGTCGACTGCTGATGTTTTTCATACCAATTGTCAGATAATTTTTTATACATTGAAATGTCTACTACGAATTTTCTCGTGTGCCTGATCATGACGAGGAGCTCACGGCATTACAGTCAGTCCTAAAATGTATGCTTACTTCTGAATGGCACCTGATCCCTCCTCTTTATTTAAGATCCCAGTGTTTGCTTTGCTCCGAATTCGAATTGTTTCAATGGATTTTGCAGCTTTAATACTGTTTGTTACCCATATATTTCATTCAATAATGTTTCAACTATTAACATTTTAATCAGGGTTTTACCATGCAAAACTTTATTTCGCTTCTGTTCTTATGATATTAAAAAAAAAACCTTTACATCCAGTGTTCCAGAATTTGAACTTTCATCAAAACCAGTTTGTGAAAACAAGTGGGCGAGGTCCCGTTTACGTCGCCTTGATCCCTCATGGTCCAAGATGCAGAAGAATTTTTTTCCAGTGGCAAATTTACATTCTTTGAAAGTTCCATAATTGCAAATCGTTCTCCATATACCCGTCGTTGCATTTGTACAGGTACAAACTCGAGTCAGAGCTGTAGTTTTTGAAATAGCTTGCAGCTCATTGTATTGATTGTTGTTTTGATTGAACAGATTTTCGGTGGTGTTATCTACCCTTTCAACAAAAATATAAAAAAAATATTTAAGCACATTTTGATTATTATTCAAATAAACGATCGTATACTTACTATTAGATATTTTAATGCAAATGATTTATAAACAGAATTAAAGTGAACAAATTATGGCCGCATCTAAAAGCCGTTTACTTTGTAGTTATAAAAGACATATATTATCAGATTTAAGTTTAAACTTTTAAAAATAAATCTTACTGCCATGATGTTGGAAAGTCAGTTTTGTTCTTGTGTCTTCCCATGTTATCATTGTCCATGTTTCCATCCAAACTACCACACAAACCGCTAGTCCTGTTTACATCAGATGGCGAGGCTGTGATGTCTACATTCAGATACCAAACTTCCCGCCAGGAAGTAATTTTAATCATTACAATAGTTCCAGTCGGTAGTAGGACCTCCATTTGTATTAAAAAAATGTTTCAGAAAACATAAATTAGAAAGAAAAATAGCTATTTTGTTTCAGTTTTGAAATACTCATTTCAAAATATAATTATGCATTAAAAGGTTTTTATAGACTGTTCTGTCTCTCGTTTAATACAACAAATTAAAGTAAATATAACATTATCATAAGCTTTGTAGAAAATATTAGAATTATTAAAACAAAAAATGAGGGTTAAAGGTAATGACTCCATCTGAAGCTTAATTTCACCTATTGACGTAAAGATGAAAGGGTCAGTAAAAGATAAAGTTAAACACAAGTCAGCTGTTTATTATATAGCATTTAAAATGTTCCTAGACATCTTAGTTTGAATCTTTTAAGTTAAAACTTTTTCCCTGCTTTTACGATTTTACCCATAGAAATTTTCATAAAGTTAACCAATGTTAAGTAAGTTTTATTGGAAGAATAATAGTTTATAATGTGACATTCTGATATGATATGGATACAATATGTAGGACAGAAATTATTAAATGTTTAATACATACCACATATTTTTCATTTTATGCTTAGGTTGTGTTGTATGGGATTCACTTAACTTGAGGTTTTGTTAAGGTGAGGGATTAAGGTTCATATTTGGGAACAATGAATACTTTAGTCTGAATTAAATCAAATAATTGTTCAGATTATTTTTATGGGTTGGGTACCTCTGCACCCTTTACAACCACCCCACTCCAAATTATATATTCGCTAACATTATGTTAACCTAAGTGGATATCGATAGCAAGTGAAATAGCTTTTCAAAGCTATATGTATTTATTTGAAATTTCCCAGTCTATTTTTAAACCAATGTGGAAATCAACGTAACGTTGTATTTTTTCTACATTCATTTTGTTGGATTTCAGCAAATCAGAGAGACAAGAATTATTCAGTCATATACACATTATACTGATTTTTTAACCTTATCACAATCAGATGTATTCTTGTCTTAAAAAAGAAAGTAACGCTCTATGCTTCAAACTATGTTCCATTTGAATCTAATACTATTTTTTCTGGTTAAAATCACAATATGGTGAAATTAAGACCAGAGGGATATATCACCATAAATATCTCAGGACCGAAACACACACACTGTTAGGCTTTTCTTAAAAGTCTAAAACCGTACGTTTTGAAGGACATACGGCATCATATGCACACGCCAAAGCAAGACTTACAAGACCATAAAAATTTCCATCAATTCCACGTGTTTTTGAAGCATTACCAGTGTACATCATTTAAACAGAAGAATCGATTGAATACTTTGGAATAATATTACCGACCAGTGCGTTTATCATTCTTTATAATGAGGAGGAGGAGAACAGAAGCATTTGTTGGTGTTTTCATTATCTTATTCGAATATACTTTGTTTTCAATCTACCCTTGTGTATAGTTTGATAAGAATAGATTGATCATTGGATGAATATTTTTACTGGTTGAGTAGAAAATGTCTATGCTAAGTCTTGTATAAAGAATTAGAGCAGTTCTCTATTCATATACATGTCTGACTTGTACGGCGGGTATAAAAATGTATATATGAGTGTTTACTCGTTAAGGCTAGACGTTTCATGACTTATAAGGCAAGCCGTACCTTCTGTACCGACCCTTTAACAAACTCTCCTTGACGATTGGGAAAGATTGAGTTAACTTTAGTAATATAAAATAATTACCATGTAACGACGGTCTGTTAGCTTTGTTACCCTCAATACTTTGTCTTCACACAGTGGAAAGTTAATCAATTCTCTATTGTTTGTACAAATATCGATTGTGAAAATGTCTCGACCGGATCGCACGGCTACAGCACAGTTACATGTTACACCGGTATAACAGGAAAAGTGTTTTTCTTGAACCTAAAAAATAAAAAAAAAATCTAGGTTAATGATGACAGGGTGATCTAACTAAAATAAGCATAATGTTGAAAATGTATCTGTCAATATTCATATTCATTACAGCTTTGATACATTTTTAATCAACATATCGTAAAAAAAACCCCAGATACCTATTGCCCAAGATTTTCTCAATTCTTAAAAGCTTATTCAACAATTCAATATCCCGTGCTTTCAAAATTAGACATTGTGTATTTTTATTTGTATTGAGATTGTATTTAAGATTGAATACTGTTCGTTATTTCCATATCCTTCTTGTAAATGATATTCAAATTTAAAATTGTATTTACTCCGTACGATTAATTCCATTGTAAGTAAAGGTATAAGTTTATGAGAATATATTTAATGAAAAGTGAAAAGATAAGGATGATCTATCTCAATAAGAATACAATAATACAAATCGTAAAGAGAACTACGAAAAGGTAAATTTCTCTACACTAGTGTGTGCACTTGTATACTATTTTATATTTCACTGTCTTGTGAACAAATAAAGTGTTGTAACTCCTTATTTCAGGTTTCTTCAAAGGTCAACATGTCCCAAAATTTTTTTTATAATAAATCCAAAACTATGTGAGGTATAAAGTTCAAACGTTTTCAGTTTATAATTTTTTCATTGATTGACAGACAGAAAGTGTCACTTGATAAAAAATACTTGAAAAAAAATATCTAAACTTAGAAAAAAATCTTTTTTAAAATGCATATGATATTTTTTTCAGAAAATGCATCTTATTATTTCTGTGCTATAAGTGAAAACCATCACTGCAGAAACAAAATATGTTTATCAATGAAAAGCAAGTTGGACTTGGATAGCCTCTGGAAAGTTGTTTTCCCTGTTTATTTTGTCCAAATGTTAATACTTGAAAGCGAAAGTACATTGCAAATGGCGGATTTTATAGGGGTCTTGTCTTTATACTGTCATGCTTTCAATAACAGCCTTTCAGAGACCACTCACGTCCAACTTGACCTTCGATCAATGATAAACATATATTATTCCCGCAATGATGGTTTTCACAAAAAGGACAGAATCTCTCTTTAAATTTGCACATTTTCTGTTGTCACATTTACGGTGTTATTAAGGTCTTCCGTTTCCAACGGAAGACCTTCTACTGATTCTGTTGGTAAAGATTATTATTCTTTTTTTTCTTCTGCTTCCTAGACCGCAACTTTGAGGCCTCGTATCTCGCTCATTTCTCAACGGATTTCGCTCAAATTTTCAGACGTTATAGACGTTAATAAACTCTATCAGAATAATGTCTAAAATTTCAAAAAGCCACTTCCGGTTTTGAGTTATTTCCCTTTAAAGGAAAATTTATAGGCTTTCGTTTCCAGACAAAGGATCATAGACGGCTAAAGCTGGAGCAGAAATTCTACTGATTTTAGATAATAGAAGGATTGAAGTTGTGCACATCCGTTTTTGTTTTTCGATTTCTGTGTTCAAAATGGCGCTATATAGGGGGTCAAAAATTAGAACGCTTAAAAGAACCAAAAATTACTCATATTTTTCTTTTTATCTTCTAAACTAAAAATATTTTGTTAAAATATATAGAACATAATTTGTGCAGAATTAGAAGATCTTTCAAATGATATGTTGAAAAAAGGGCTGACCCCTAAATTAAGGGACCTAGAGGGGCCAAAAGTTTTTTCCAGATATCTCAAAAAGTATTGAGAATTTGTTATGCATCAAAGAAGCAAAGTTGTTCAAAATATCAAGCTTTATCTAATGCGGTCGTCAAAATACGTCCGGCGACGTCACTTCCGGTTTTGCATATTTTTGCCGTTTTTGACAGGTTTTCGGGTAACATGTCTCACTAGAAGCTTAAATATTAATTTTTCGTCCGTCGTCGTCACTTCCGGTCAAACCGGAAGTACCAAAAAAATGGCTTAATTTTGCTATACTTAACATAGATTTGGAGGATTAACCCATTTTCGGACTTCATTACTCTTTTTTTTAAATAAAAGTTGCTTCCGTCAAACAGGACGGAACAACGAGCTTTAAAAATTTACTGTATTTATTGTTCGAACTTTGTTCCGTGGTTTCTAACCGTTGTGTGGACAGACAAGAGCCAGAATACTATGTACAATAAGTTGTCTATATAAATGTAAAAACGTTTTTTGAGTTTTTCCTTATTTGGAGATCACTAGGGAAAGAACTCGCAACATGTGTTACAATTTTTTTCCAAAATTATTTTTTTTTAAAATAATTTATATTCTATGTAAGACACGCTGTTTTATTTGATTGGTTGTACAATGTATTAATTTAAGTATTTTATAAGCTTAAAATCATTTTTAGTCCATTAAACTTATAGTCATGAAATGATTGAAATAAAAGAAGTAGACTTTAATTATGTATATTATCTAAATACAAATTATCTAAATACAAATACGTGAAAAAGAATAAAACGCTTGCTTTTGTATTCAACTCGACATTTAGATTTATTATATAGCTAATAAATAGTCTCTAATAAATTACTTCAAAAAATCCAAAGAATTTTAGCGTTCAATATCTTGACGTTTTATTGAACGCTAACTTTGTATTACGTATATGAGTATGCCCGAAACATTCCGAATACGAGCGTTCAATATCGAACGCCCCGTTGTAAACAAAAAATGTCGTCTGGTCAAATTCTCAGAGCTAAATTAAAGAAAGGAAGTTGCATCTAGGTAAGATGTGTTTATTTTTCACACAAAAATGACATCAATTTGTTCTATGGTCGATTCAAAGACTTTTTTAGCAAACATAATTTATCATTAAGTTAGAACCTATGTCGAAAAAGTCTTTGTCTTTGAAAATTTTTCAAACTATTCAAAATGATAAATTAACACTAGCTTATCAATCAGTCAAAAGCACATGGCATGTTTCCTTGTTATTGAATGTAGTGCAGCCTGTGAAACATGGAATGGTAATTACATACTGCGACTACACATTTTCAGTCATTTTTAGGGGTACATGTCATAAAGAGAGTATGAAAAATCTCAAAAATATTTTTCTAAACATCGTCAGTCGTTGACTTTATTAACTAAAGAGTATACAACAGTATTTCTAAGTAATTAATTATTTTTCATTCCATTGACATAAAAGCTTAGTCCACATTTAAGAAACAAGAGGCCCGCGGGCCTTATAGGTCACCTGAGTATCATGTAACAACTTTCCAGCGATTGTATTTGGTTCGTGTTTTAAGCCAAAAGCCATGAAATTCACATATTTTGAAAGAGGCACCATTGCTTATCAAAGGGCAGATTTCAAAGCATTGATTTATTTTTAGTCAAAGTACCCCCTTGGTACCCCTGACCCAGCAGCTTTGAAATGATCTATTTTGAAAGAGGCCCCTTTCTTCATTATAAAGCCAGCATTTGTTTTATGTTTAGGTTTAGTTATGAACATGAGAATAAAAATGTTCAGAAGGAGAAGGAAATAAAATTTTTTTTTGATTAATCAATTATTAATATTTGTACATTCTTTTTTTTATGCTTTCCTAATAGGCTCCTTACCACTGGACACATAATTCTTACAAATAGAAAAGTAGAACATTTAATTGCTTATTTCATCATCTGCCAGTTTGGGCCAGTCATATAAATTTTGTGATGTTGATCAAAGTATATTTTAAAAAATCAATTCTTTAAAAGTCTTTCAATATATCTTCATTTTTTAAATATGTGTTAGGTGTATGTGTAGACATTGTTCTAAAATTTACTTGATGCCTAAAATTATAATTCCTATCATAAAACAGACAGGGATTATTGGGGAGTAGAGTCAACATTTTTTTCAATTAAGTGTAAAATGATTTTTCTGGCTGATACAAATGATACTACATGCCTGTATATATTCTTGCCTATAAATAGTTGATTTTTTTTTATTTCTTCAGGTTATTGTTTATTTCTTCCTCAAATGGTCACTTCACTTCTCCCATAGTTTTATTCATTTTCATCTGATGCATAAGCAACTCTTTTCTGAAGAATGATGCTTAGACTGTAAGCTAAAACAGAGACCTAAACAATGTCCCTGGCAATATGAAATAGCTACTCTCGTGTGTTTAAAATGATATAATTATCAAAAGTAATATAGTATAAGAGGTGAATTATAGAGATAGTGTAATACTTTCGAAACTTTTATCCTTTTATCTCATGCATAACTAGAAATCTCTTTCACAACTGAATTAACTCATGCACAAGTATTGTTATTTACTTCGAATATTTGTCAAATAATACACTATTCTAAATCCAACTCTCGGAGGATAGGATGCACTTGTTGCATACTCAGGGTGGACATTGCATTTTCAAGGTTAGTTGAGATCAACACGATTTCTAGTCGGCAAATACTATTTCATATCAGCGTTTTCGCTCTACCAGCCTTGCAAAATTAAAGAAAAATAAATCGCTCATGGAATCATATTCTTATGTTTTAATATAAATATCAATTATTGCCTTAATCGGTTCAATTTACTACCTGTGAACTGGAAATATTTGTATCAAATGCATAACCGGAAATCGATCTCTTGTGATTATATTACACAACTGCTGGTTGTGCAACTGATCAAATAGCAGGCGTTCTATGTGGTTCATAAAACACTGGGCTAGAAAAGATGAAACTTATCTGAAATCATCCTCAGGTAGTGTAGATTCAAGTTTGTTCAAATTATGACCCCCGGGGGTAGGGTAAGGAAAAAATGGCTGATCAAAATTTTACATAGGACTAGATATGGACTTTTTTTAGAATCGTCTCCTCAAATATTTCAAAGCCATAATTAGTGATATCTATGTGGAATCATCCTCATGTAGTGTAGATTCTAGTTTGTTCAAATCATAACCCTCAGAAATAAGGTTGGGCCACAATTGGGATCCAAGTTTTACATTTAACTATATTTTTAAAGTATAGTACTAGTATATATGGAAAAATTTTCAGGTAGTGTAGAATTGAATTTGTTCAAATCATAACCACGAGGATAGGGTGGGGACACAATGGTTGATCAAAGTTTGACATAGATAATTAACGGGAAAAATCCCAAGAACAGAAAAGCTATGTTTAGTAATATTGTCATGTAAGCATCCTCATGCATTGAAGATATAAATTTATTCAAATTATGGCCCTTTGGGGGTAGGGAGGGAAACAATGGGGAATCAAATTCAAATTATTATGAAGTTATATATAGGAAGAAAATGTTTTTAAAGAATCTTTTTATCAAGAACACCAAAGTCATATGGTGTATTAAATAATATGATGGCATAAGAGTTTTAGTTGGGTGTACGATATCCAATGAAAAGGACATTTTAAATTAGACAAAGATATTTCATGAAAATTTGTAAAAAAAAAAAAAAAAAAGAGAGAGAGAGAGAAAATGTAAAAAACAGATGATAGCATTTACAATAGACTAAAAGATTATGATAAACCAAGACTAAGTGAGAGGAAATCAGCAAGTTTATAGGGTCCAAATACTAAAGATGAAGTTTTATATTTTTTAAAAAACATGAAAAATGATAAAATTCCAGGACCGGATGGATTTACATGTGAGCTTTTTAAGTTTTTTTGGAAAGATATTGGTATTGTAATGAGTATTGAATAAGGCAATCGGCCTATACCATTCAAACGCTTGTGTGGCCTGTAATAATGGAAAAGTACAGGAGCCTGTCCATCCCTGTTTGAATGGTATAGCCCTTTGCTATATAAACGACTGCAGAGACAGTCTCGATCTCTCTCTCTTTCTGAAACCCACAGAAGAAGCAAGAAGCAGAATAGAAAATAAAAGGTAGTAATAAAAATTAGAAGTATTTAAAGGGGAAAAAAAAGATAAGGCTAGGGTACAGAGCACCGGTCTGTATTTAGCCAAGGAATTGAAGCAGAAGGTGTAGTAATCCTGAGTAAGGGTGAGGCACCGAGTGCTCAGTTCAATAGGAACTTGGTTACGGAACCAGGTGCAAGGAGCCCAGTCACAGAACCCGGTTACAAAGAACTAACCTCTAATTGTATCCTGCTGTTTCAATAAAAAAAGCCCAGGGACAAGCATCCCCTATAAATAACGAATAATCATTTGATTCTCCATATTAATTATAGGCTCAGATAGAGCCAGAAGAAAAATTTGTATATATATTTGACCCTGTATCTCCTGAAAATGCAATTTTCAGATGTAAATAGATTAGGAATCATTACGTGTATACCAAAAGCAGGAAAACCAAAAGAATTTTTAAAAAATTGGCGCCCCATTAGCCTTTTAAATGTTATTTATAAATTAGCATCTGGGTGTATAGCCGAACGAATAAAAAAGTTTTAAATAAATTAATACAGAAAGAGCAAACTGTATTTTTAAAGGGAAGATATATTGGAGAAAATATTAGATTGGTTTATGACATAATGGTTTATACAAAATACAATAAAATACCAGGACTTTTAATGCATATAGACTTTGAAAAAGCTTGTGATACTATATTGTTGAATTTTATTTATGAAACACTGATTTTTTCAATGTTGGACACTCAATTAAAAGCTGGATAAAGACATTTTACAACAATATTAAATCCTGTGTCATACAGAATGGGTTTATATCTAATAATATTTATCCAGAAAGGGGATGTAGACAGGGGGATCCTATATCCCCATATCTTTTCCTATTGTGTGCTGAAATTTTGGGCATTTTAATTCGGAAAAATAAAGACATACGTAGGGGTGATAAGGAAGCATACAAAAAATTCTACCTTGATTAAATCAGTGCTGCATTACGACGTCATAGCAGGCGAGATGACGTCAATTTTAAAACACAAGTTTTCGTAATATTGGTATTTAGAAATGATATTTAACTCTAAAAAATAAATAGAAACGTGTAAATATTAACAAAAATAAAAATGTTTTTATTTTGTTATGATGTATATGTCATTTTTATTAAAATCTACCACCGATGACGTCATATGTGTACATCAGGTAACTTTGGAATTGATCATGCCGTGAAAAGAGAATTTGGCTACGAGGGCTTGTACAAAGATACGTGAAATGGAAATGAAAAGCAAATATCGTGAATATTATGTGAAATTTATATGGAATTCAGTTAATTAAACAGGTATGCTAATTTATTTTAATCGACGATATTCTCTTTCGTAGACAGTCGGCGACAAACGTATCCCGGTCGGACTTTCCTATTTCATTTGTGACAAAAATAATGCAGCAGAACAACAATGAGCTGGATATTTCAAAACATAAGATTTTTACAGATGGAAAGTTTGCCTTCTGACAAACTTGGAAATTGCTGCTAGAATCCCGAGTTAAGTATGATTTTACGAAAAATCTCGGTTGATATGTATAAAATTCAAAACATAGGTTAAGGTTTTGTGCGAATGTGTGGAATAATTATTTTACTGATAGGACTGTGGGATTATAGCAGCACTTTTCAGGCAAAATAGATGTTTTTCGACTATATTATTTACTCAAAGAAATTATCAAACTCCAGGGTATTGTTGTTCCGTTACCCTTTTTATTAAGGAAAATTTCGCTATAAAAAGAAGTCACGTGACCCCTATGGCGATGGTGCACATCTTTGTTTTAGACACTCTTTTATCTGTATTCAATAGTTAATAACAGTTTATGTTAATCAGCGGTTTTGGTTATTTATCACACTAAATTTTCTTTAAAAAGTCCAAATTTTCCGAGAAATGATCTATATGCTTCCTAAACATACCCGTGTAAAAGGTGCAACAATAGATGGAGAAGAGTATAAGATTTCTCAATTTGCAGATGACACATAACTTATCTCTGATGTATCGCCTGAATCTATGGATGGAATTCTCTGAGAATTACTCTACTTTGTATACTTATCAGGACTAAAAATAAATATTCAAAAAACAAAAATGATATAGATTGGTAGTAAATTTTTTTTCAAAAGATGTATATCATCATTCTTGGTGGAAGTTAGACTGGAATAGCACAACTTTTGATCTTAAAGGGATTAAGTTTTCTGTAGATTTAAAAGATATGATTAATCTTAATCATACATCAAAGTAAAGTGAAATTAAAAAGGTATTGAATCAATGGAAGCTAAGAAAATTAACCCCCCATTGGTAGGTTAACTGTAATTAAGACATTGATAATCCCTAAATTAAATTACTGGATAATTACTTTACCTAATCCAACATTAGAAATTATAAAAGCATTTGAGAATGAAATTTAAATTTTTCTTTGGGGAAGTAAAGTCCATAAAATGAAAAGAAATACTATAACTCAAGACTACAGAGATGGTGGCCTTAGAATGGTTGATTATTCATAGTTTATAATAGCATTAAAATCAAGTTTGATAAGGAGATTAATGCACTCTGATTCTAAGAGGGTAGACGATTTTGGGTAGAAGTCCTTAGAAGAAGTTGGCTTAAAATATACTTTGCAGAGCAACATAAAAATAAAAATATATTCCAAGAAAACATATGGTATAATCAAAAAATAATCATGGGTAGGTCTTCTGTCTTTCTCAAAAGCTATTTCAATGCTGGTTTTGTTTTCATAAGTGACTTGTTTAACTAAGATAATAATTTTTAGCGTATTATTTATGACTACGCTTCCACCATTTTATGAAACGCAAATAACGCCCGACTCAATTTTGGCGTCAGCCACGGAAGAACACCTTAGTCATATGTCTGGTCTTAAATTTACTACTTTTGATGGAACGGGCCAAGGCTCGTTTTAGTATTTTAGTATTTTAAACATTATTTATCGACCCCGAGGGTGAAAAAAACCGAAATTTTATGTCCATCTACAGGACACCCCAATCCATCTTTAAAATTTGGTTAGACTACAGTATAAAATGCAGGATGAGTTCTGGGAATCAGGACTTATTTGTTTAAAAAAGACATCGTTTTTAACCCTCGATTTGCTCCTTGGTTAAATCTAAAACCTTATCTTGTTCCCCAAACGAAGTTGGGAAACATATTGTTTTTACTTTGTTTCTTCTTCTTATTATTTTTCATCTTCCTGGGTACTTATTTGTCCGTTAATGATCTTCTAAACTACTTGTCCAATTGAGGTAAAACCTTTTTAAGTCTTTAAATCTTTCTTGTTTGTTATCAAACTCCTTTGAAATTTTGAACATAGTCATACATTACAAAGATATTAGTATAATATACAAGAATTATCATGAAAGCACGTGCATGAACGTGTGCTGCAATTCGATTAGCTGAAATTTTTAATGCCTATAACTTACTTGGTTCTCCACAAAAACAGGATGAAACTTAGAATATGAATAGGTATAATGGATTCCCACAAAATTAAAAACAAAGACGTGCATGCACGTGTGCATGCGCAAAAGGAATATTATACTTAAAAATGGTAACATTTATATTATATTTTTTTAATTCTCAGTATGTAAAGATATGTAAATCGTTTAACAAACATGCCATGATCATCTTGCATACTAGTATGTCAATTAACCTTTTGCATGCGCGCACATGCAAAACGTTAAGTGACATACATTTGGTATCATTGTAACATTTTTATTTTCTTAAATGAAATCCTTCGACACTGAGCAAAGAGACTTACAGGAATAAGGCACGAAAAGATATTTGGTGAGCGTTTGGGGAACATCTGTAACGGTTCCCGTTACAATTAGCACTAGTTGAACATTGCCAGTGTAAAAATGTATGCTCGCAATTTCTTTCGAGAGCACTAGAATAATCAAAATGTTACACTGAAATCTTATTTTGTTAACTCCTGGAGAAGAGTGTACTAGAGAAAAATATCCTCAAGTTCTAAAACATAAGCAAAAAGAAATTTGATTTTAACTTATTAGATCCTAATTCTAATGCAAAGAAACTCCATTAGTGAGTGTGTGTTACTGTTATGCACATGATACAATACCTCCTGGTTGTAGTCTTCATTTCTGTATAAGATGAAAGTTCCTCTTTCGAAGCAGTCATAATACCTACAAAAAATAATTTAACTCATTTGCAAATCTATAGATTTTACATAATGGAATGGCGAAAAAAAAGAGTCCTTAATTTAAAAGCATCGGATAAATGGCGTTTTAAATGATATGAAAGTAATATTCATCCTTGGACAGGGACTTCTTATAACCACAAATTACTTAAAAGGTATAAATATACTATTATGAGTTATTTCAAATAATTTTTTTTTATTTGATTGTCTGTGTAACTAACAAATGTGGCGATAATTTATTCACCTGAATAATGGTTTAACGTATTCATAATTCAATATGCAAGAGTATCAATGTATAGAAACGGATTCATCTGATTCCATTTTCATCAAAAAGATATTTTACATATTCATTACCACTTTTGATCCAATTATTAAAATAAATGATTTTACCTTTATATTTCAAATGCTTTTTAAACCATAAATTTATACACAAGAGTTGGTTCGATGTGCTTAATTCAGTTTGTGCTTAACACTTTCTACCTGTTCAGATTTTTTAATACCTCTCTAGATTATTTTAAACACTAGCCGTGTATATGAGTTTTGATAAAATTAATGAATTTATTATCTGACATTTTCTAAAAATAGTAAGTTTCCTTTTCTCCAGGGGTCTAGTAATTTTTTCAAATTATTTAAGTCTACCAAGTCATTTTTTTCATTACATGCATATTTGCCTTTACGTTTGTTTTGAATACTTTTAACATTCCACAGAGCCAAAATGAATTTCAACTATCTTATATATATTGGATTCAAAACCTCATAAGAATCCTTACAAACAAAGATACATTGCAGGTTCCAGTAAATGTTCAACCAAGCCTCTTTCGTTATTCATCACTAAGATATTGACCGTAGTAGAGGAAAAACTTCAAGAGTACTGTACAACTATATATTCAAGAAGTGGTGTGAATCAGATGTGGATACTAAAAAGTTCTAAATAACTTTTGGACAATTTGAAATCACAGGACTTTACAATAATCAACAGCTTAAAAACTTACGACTTTTCAAATTTATCCACAACAATTCCCCACAACAAATTAAAATCCAGGTTTTTGATATCATTGACAGCTGCTTCTTCACTAAAAATGGAACTCGTAAATTTACTTACCTCGTCATTGGTCATTTGCAAAATTATTTTGTTAAAACAGATTCTGATTGCACACATAAGTACTCTGAAGTTGATTGACATCAAGAAGATGCTTTAGTTTCTGATTGACAATATCTATGTGGTTTTTGGAGACCAGGTATTCCAACAATCTATTGGAATTCCCATGGGTACAAACTGCGCTACGTTATTAGCAGACTTATTTTTATATTCATATGAAGCAGAATTTATGCAAAATCATATACGTGAAAAGAAGAAAACAAGAAAACACTTGCTGTGGCCTTCAACTCGACATTTAGATATATCGACGACGTATTGTCAATTAATAATGGCAATTTCCATTCCTACGTCGATACGATATATCATGGTGAGCTTGAAATAAAAGATACCAGAGAGTCCGACACATCTGTTTCATACTTGGATATTTTACTTGAAAAAGACACTAATGGTAATCTAACAACCAAGCTATATGATAAACGTGATGACTTTAACTTTTTTATCGTCAACTTCCCTTAATTATGCAGCAATATACCTTCATCACCTGCACACGTAGTATATATATATCTCAGTTTATTCGATACGCAAGAGCATGCTCTATGTTTGAACAATTTCTATAATGAGGTTAATTATTGACAAGCAAGTTGATGAATCAAGAATATTAGCAGCCTCGTTTAAAGTCATCATTTCGTAAGTTCTATGGTCGATACAATGACCTTTTCAGCAAATACAATTTATCATGAAGTCAAATGCTGACCGACGTTTTTTCATTCCAATTCTTAATCCATTATCTATACTATACACTGAATTGAACATAGATTTTTTTTCGTTATTTCCTGATCATGACAAGGAGCACAAGCCGTTGTGACCGGTCGACAGGGGATACTTACTCCTCCATGCCACCTGATCCCACCTCTGATGTTTCAGAGGTCCGTGTTTGCTAGCTCCTATTTTGTATTGTTTAATGGACTTTTGGATTGAATACTGTTCTTTAACTCCATATCTTCATCAATCTATCATTGGCACCGATGAATCGACCTTTAAGGTATCCTGTTTGATTTTTGTTTATCAGATAATCTTTAGTACGTTTTTCCGCAAACACGAAAACTATAATATTTTTTAATCGGTATTAGTAAGACTAATAAGTCGTTAATTTTCAAGGTTATCGAAAACATCTTTTTATGCATAAGAGAAAGCACAGAGCATTTTTGTGTTTGTGATAGTTTACCTTTTCCAACTGATTCTACTAAATCATTATAAAATTACCTATTAACTTGTTTCCAAAACATTTTGTAAAATTCTGCTGGTACATATACACCACCGATTTCAGGAGATTTATTTTGGTTCATTCGATATACTGCTTTCTTTGCATTCTTTTAGAGACGGAAATTGATCACTGTTAATTTATCTTGTCCTCTTTTGTATTTTTGTTAACGATGTCAATATTAATTAAATAGTTATCAATGTCATTGTGTATAATATCTACACTCGATAACAGATTTTAAAAAAATAAACAAAGCTGATTTAATATGTTGTCAGTTTCATTGTAGATCTGGTCTTAATGGAGAGTTCTGGATCACCCATCCCTCATATAAAAAAATAGAAGGCATCCCTCAGGTCATCTCTCACATGGAAAGTTATTTAAGAAATAAACAACGTTATTCAGTGAACATGGCGTTATGAATAGCAATTGCTGGCATATTCCATGATGCGCGCTAGCGCATCATGGAAAATATGCCAGCAGAGCTATTGCGATTCATAATGTCATGTTCACTGAATAATCGTTGTTTATTACTTATATTTGCATTCTTTGATTTATTCAAAAAATATCAGAGGAAATCCTGACTTACATATAAGGACGCGGCTTCTTGTCTTCAGTAATGAAAAAACATACGGCTTTAAAATCAGTACACCTGATCAATGATACTTTTATCTGATAAATCACAAACAATTATAAAATATTTTCCTCTCAAACACAGTTATCTGGATACAAGCAGTGCCGTAAACACATTCTCTTAATTTTTGTTTTGATGCAGTCGTGACGTCATCGATCAACGTTATTGAAACCCTTCTAACAAAAATCAACGATTTAACACTATGATGAAAAATGATAATGCTTTTATAATGATTATTAATCCAGAATGCTTTTTCTATTTTTTTTAAGTTCTTCTATTTATTTTTAATAGCTGAAATTATTCTTGAAGTCGATATACTAGTTATACTGGTTTTCTGAATGTTATTACCCAAATGTGAAGAGTTATCGTTCTTTGAACAAATATACATGATGCAAAAATTAAAAATAGGGCAGTTTTCTACAATTTTTAAAAAGTTTTATTATACAATTAAATACATTGACCAAAATTAAATTTTTAAAGTTATAAATCAGCAATTTTAATTATTCTGAATTTCAATTTTCTGAAAGAAATTATTAAAAATATTTATTTTGATGAAAAGTTTCATATATATACTCCTATAACATTGTAGCTACGAGGTCCTACGGAAATTTGATAAAGCAATTGCTCTCAAACAGAAGCAAATATAAAATAGGTTTGACCGCTATTAAACAATGGCTTATAGACATTGATGCCTAGTCTTCAACGTCATTCAAGATTAATAGGGTTATTTTCCAGGGCATCGACTCCCTTTGGGATGTAGATTTAGCCAACGTTTCCGGACTTTCAGACGACAACATTGATATAAAGTATTTACTCATCGCCATTGATGTATTCTCAAGATATGCTTGGGTTAGAACTTTAAAAAACAAACGCCATGGCAGTTTCATAGATGCTATAAATGACATTTTCAAAACGTCCCGTAAACCCAAAGAACTAAAAACAGACAAAGAAAGTGAATTCAGAAATCGAGGGGTCAAAGATTTTTTCAGAAGACAATGTTGATCATTACGTCACACAGAATGTCACTCATGCAAAATTACGCTGAGCGATTTATTCAGACTCTCAAAGTCATGATGTATCGATATTTCAACCATAATAGAACACAAGATTTACAGACGTTCTAAAAGAGATATAAAAAAACAAATGAAGCGGTGACCTGGAAGAAATTATATGTATATGTCTTAAAACGCGCGTTTACAAAAAGAAAGCGCACAAACCACGTAAGCGTTTTGAATTTAAAATGGGAGATTATGTAAGAATATCAATCACCAAGCACATTTACCAGAGGGATTTTGAACAGAAATGGACGAAGATTTTATAATATACAGGAGATCTTACGTCAAGGGAAACCAGTGTACAAAATTAAAGATTATGACAATGACCCCATCGAGGGAACCTTTTATGAATTTAAGCTTCAAAGAGTCAACAAATCCAGAGATGACTTGTGGAAGATTGAGAAAATCTTAAAAGGGCGTCAACGAAGGGGAAAGGTAAAAGTCTGAGTAAAATGGCAAGGATATCCACAGAAGTTTAATTCCTGGGAAGAAGAACTTGAACCACAGGATATATAAGAAATCTATTTAACAACTTACCGTCATTTCCTACCAAGCAGTTATGAAGTCAACATCAAGCTCAAAATGCCAGAGGGAATTTTCACGCTCTGATAATCTGAGGAGACATGAGAACTGCTCATTGTGGCAGTGAACCATATCCTCAAATCACAGAACCGTATCCTCCTCCCCATTTCACTCCTCCGCCTTCGCCTCCTCCTCCTCATTTCACCCCTTCTCCTCTTCCTCATTTCACTCCTCCTCCTCTCTCCGGAATGGATGAGTTATCAGAAGGCATGGAGGATAAGTTTCAGTTCATGCATCCCTTTACCATGATCGTTGCGGGACCAACATTGGCGGGAAAATCTACATGGATCAAAAACTTACTAGTATTTAATTAACAGCTTATTAGCCCTGCACCTGAAAGAATCGTGTGGATTTATAA